TAGAAAGAACAAGAAAGGCTGAATATTCGTCGCCAGACGCACAATAAAAGCGATCGCTGTTTCCCAATAAGATGAAACGACGCGCATTAACGGGACCACTGCGAATATTCGTTTAATGAATGTATCTTCGCGATGTAAACGAGATCCGACGCTGAAATTGACGATCTGGACGACAGGACTGGAAAGCCTTCTGCAAGTTCGACGATTATGGAATTAATTTTCGTATCGGACAACCTAATTGAAGCGTGAAGATAACCTAACCCAAGTCAAAGAAGAAGAAGAAGAAGAAGAAGAAGAAGAAGAAGAGGAGGAGGAGCAAATCGAAAGTTAGTAAGCTGACATTTGGAAGAGTATCTTCACTCTTTAGCTGCGAGGTACATTATGATTTCGCAATTTCATCAAAGACTGTTAACAGGTTCCTAGTTTGAAACTGCTTGCACAAAATTTCACTGGTAGACGCGTCGAAGTCTCGTTCGAAGGGACGAGTATCGTCGTTATATTCTCTTCCGCAGCTGAAGAGTCCACAAACAAAGGCTTGTAGGCTTTCTGAATCTTTTTCGTTCGAGCAGAAACGAGCCACGACGGAGGAGGATCTCTTAACTTAACCTTAAGCTGGACTTTTTTTCCATCTTGAGAAATCTTTCGCAAGTTCAAACGAGTCGAGGTCGAGCAAGAACGAAGGCCAGCTGGACAGAGATATGGAGAGTGAACAGTCGTACGGTGTTTCTCTGTATCTTGAACTGCACAAATCTATCCAGACAACTTGAATCAGGCCATCGAGTCCTCGAAAACAGGAGAAGAGAGGGAGAAGGTCGCACGAAACAAGAAGAGACGTCCGCGCCCATCCAAATGGTTCAAGCACAGATCACTCTAATCGCTTCTTCGGTCGATACTTGGACGAAAGTTCGCGGTATTTCCCCGACCGGTCTCGGCGCGAATTAGTTCCGCAAGAGTCTTCACCGGCGAGCCTGACTGCAGGAGAAGAAAGGAGAACAAGAACTGATCACACACAGTGACTGGCGAGTGGGAGAAGAGGGAGAATGGAAAACCATGGCAGATAAAAGACGAAGAGATAGATATGCAAACCGAATAAACGGTAAACACATACACACGGAGAGAAAGAAGAGGGAAAGAAGTTGAATAAAAGACATGATATACACACACATACACAGAGCAGAGACACAGAGTAAGAGAAACATACGAAGAGGATGGGAGTCGCATAAGACACAACGGTCGATTTATATACAACATACTATATATATACATATTATATATACACACATAGGCTAGTCACGATATACATGTGCTTTTGATAAAAAAAAAAAAAAAAAAAAAACTATTACTTAGAGGTTTAGCTAGCCCTCGTATACAAAAAACACGAAGGAACTGCTGATGTACACGACAGCTGCGTCCACGTATACGTGCGTGCGTGTGAGTGTGTGCGCGTGTGCGTGTGAAGAGAGATTAATGCAAAAATGGTGAAAAAATGGGGAAGGAAGAGAGAAGATTGAGAGAGAGAGAGAAAGCAAGGTATAGGTGGCGCGCAGATGATAAGATTATACATAATATACATATAATGTTCAGAGAGGAGCCGAGAGAAACCGACTCCATGACTTTCTTGTACATGTTGACAATAGCAAACCGGCGAGCAGAGAAGAAACGTAGCGAGGAGATCGGATCGGAATAAAATACGAAGGAGTCGAAACTTATCTAGATAATAAGATAAACGGTTAATTGTAAACTTGTAAACGACTAAGAAGAAAACGGACATAGCCAGTATTATAATTGCGTACGTGAAGCGGACGAGCCGGGCGAGTGACCACCATTCGGTCAGAGTATTTCCCCGGAGTTCGTTTGTTCTACGATCTCGTCGAGACGCGAGGACACGAGTCGCTATTTTACTAACCGTCACTGTCATATTGCGTTCAATTGTTGTAACAATTGTCGCGTATATACAGACGGTTGTAGATTTGATCGTTTGGACCTCGTGACAACTAACGAGTAGTTCCCGCTACTAAAATTTGATCGTTCTTCTTCAACTTTTTAACGTGGAGCAAAGATGAAAAGACTGTAAATGGAAATATCCTATCTGATATTCATACTGAGTTGCCCAGATGCTCCTTTCTGACACTTATTTCAATTGTAATTATTTGTAGCGCGTTAGTGAGGTATTCATATGTCGATTGGCAATCAGTTCAATGACATAATTGTTACGTCTTCCGTCTATCATCTCAATATTCAAAGAAAGAATCTTGTTCCAGTAATGTAAAAAAAAATGTAGAACTTTACATTCCTCGTTTGCACTGGAAGGTTCATCCTCAATGTATGTTTTCTGTTATTGGATAGAACCGACAATCTTTATTTCAATTTATTCTCATGCAAATTACGTATCTATATTTATGACGTATAACTATTCACGTAGAACTTATTTTGCTGTTTCATCACAATTGATACTTCCTTACTGAACTAGTTATGGTACCCGTGGCGCTAGTATCGCTGACAGCGCCCAACATTGCATAGTTATTGAACAATATTTTCTTTTTCTCGAGGAAGACTAAATCACTTAAAATCTACATAAATAGACTTGCAGAGTGAGTCACTAGACGTTGTCATTTAAGTTAGCTTTCTTGTTGATCAATTCAGGAAAAGAGTAATTTCAATTCCATCGCTGCAAATGTGAATTTCGATTAATTTCTCTTCTGACTGACATATTCTTCTTCCTGAAACGAAGAACAGGCAAGCTGCTTCATTTGACAATTTCCAACGATTCACGCAGCATGGGATAATAACTTCATTCAGCTCAAATATTTTTGTTAATTCAAATGATATAGAAAAATATGTTTCATGAAATGCTTAGTGCACTGAATCATATAATGGAAACAATTTCTTTGTAAATTTAAATATAGGTTGTTCAAAGTTACAAGAAAAGTTGCAAGGAAGCTGTTTCCAGACGTCAGAAACTGTTAACAGACGTCATTTTTTTCACACTGTTGAAGACTACAGGAATATTTCTGACTGACTAAAGCTATTATATATAACTCTGTATAAATAACGTATGCATAATGCAACGTGTAACACTAGAGTGGACGTTTGCTAATATATTTTGAAGAAGAATTTATTTTAAACCACTAATCCCTGCAATGAAGAACAATCATTTTTTCTGCAACAAAGACAAACTTGAAAGCGTTGACTGCTACTAAATTGCTTTCTCAGCTCGTGTCCTCGTGAGTGAATGCAATCTGTACAAATGGCATACGATACACCTATATCGTATCAGCATTTTTCAACTAAATTCTGAAGCTAAATTGAGGAAGAGAAAAGAAGAGAAGCATTGTACAATTAACACTTGGAAATATCCAACAAAATCTCTGTACCTTAACTTTGAAATTTCCAACTGTTTTCAAACAAAGAGCCAACTAGTACACCAGTGCGTATTTAAATTTCAATCAATTATATCAATTTTACTCAAGTCTTCGTAACGAAAATAAAAAGAAGAGAGTATTCTATATCTAAAATAGATCTGCAGAGTCTTCATCTTCTCGGATTACATTTCAGATTGAGTTCGAGACACATCGAATAGAATGAACACGATGAAATTTAACTATGCTCGTTGAGTGATGCTGCTACGATACGGGGGTGTATCTATGCGCGTAATATACATACATACTTACGCGTATGCTACCTGCATACTCCAGTGCGCTCTCTTTTTTCCGCACAGTGTGTTAGTTCAATCGGCGGCATCTCGGTAGAGGATGTCACCGGGGGCGGTGTTTGTTTCGAGTAGCCGAGAGTCGAGGATCATTGTATAATTAATCGTCAGTGTACCATAATTCGCGTAGCCACACCCCCCCCCCTAATCTTATATCGAACCCCCCCCCCTGACTGTTTCACTGTGTCGTTCGATGTGCAAGCGCCACGGAACGCCGAATGTCTCCTCACTTTTATATCTCTTCTTTTCGTTCACATTCGAAAATTCGCACTTTTTGTCGCCACATAGCGATGTCTGCTTAATGCTGTTAACTTCAACGGAAATTAGAAAAATAAAGTTTGAGAATTTGCAAAAATGTAACTTTCAATGCG